AAATGGCACGCTTGCAATGCTTCGAGACTTCCCCGAGCTTGAACGACAAGTTCAACCGATTGCTAGTAAATATTTAATATTTTGATCATTAGATATTTTACGACATACGCTCAAAACTACTTTGCTTTTCATTCTCGAGGCAACTTTTATTCGCACTGTCTTGATGAATTGTCGTAGTTATTTATACATTTAGCGAGTAACATTTTCGAGTAGTAACGCAATTGCTATATGTGGGCTGTATGTGGATCACCAAGAAAAAACTTAGTAATACATTTTCAGTTGAATTTTGGACAGATTATCGTAGAGAGAACACACCGGAAGTTGCGGGTGATGAATATACACTAATTGGCGGAGACGAACAGAATGTAAGACTTGTACATTACTATAAGGTGAGTACTTATATCGTCCGATTAGTACTGCTGCCAATCAGTACTGCTACAATCAGTTTTGAAAATTAATGGTAATTTGCTAATAGTTTAGTCAGTTGCCAATGCTTGAATTCCTGTTCTTGTATGCTTTTTACTTTTTATATATGATCTTTTCAATAACCATTATAATTTCTGAAGGAAATAAAATGAAAAGAGTGTGATTCATTTTATGAGAGGTAGTTTTCGATCGACATTATTGTTAATCTTTGGAGCTAGCATCTAATTCATCGTTTTTCTAGGATTCATACGATCACTTACACAATCCATCACGGTCAGTTAAGACGACACCTTCAACGACCACTCTTTTTCAAGTAAATTCCGATGCTGTAGATATTTTATAGATAAGATTTAACCTGTTTTTTCTTCTACTCGAAACTGCTTTCGAGGAACTACTTTTGGATAAACCAATATTTTGTTCTGTTTATCCCCTAAATTTTATCTTATTCTGAGATACTCTTCTGTTCAGAATTTAATTTTCAGTTGTTTCGAAAGAGATCGTTTCTTTGCATCTTTTTTTCTTTTTTGATCGCTAAAAAATCCAACAAAATATTACGTGAAATTTGTAACAACTTGGCGCAGTTCTCGTGAAGTATATGGCTTGTGGCAGTAATGATATGGGAGTCTAACTTTACAGCCAAAAAAAATGATCAGTGATTCGGATGAGGAAGATGACGATGATGATGAGGATGAAGACAGTGATGCAAGCGTTGAAGTAAGAAAACAGTCATACGATAATACAAAAAGTTTATAATAGAGAAAATTATTAAAAGGAAACCTGGTAACAAGTTCGACAAAGACAAGCCCACCACTTATGATTGATGATGATGATGATGATGATGATGATGAATGATGATGATGATGAATGATGATGATGAAT